TAAATTATCTTTAAATAAGGCACACTGTGATTCTAAAATACTTTCAGTGGATACAGATCAGACACAGAAACACACTGTACAGCAGATAACACTTCATCCTGTTTTATCAATATATAAACATGTAATTAAAGGTTGAGGTGAAGAAATCAACCTCTCTTCACCTCAACCTCCTCAAACATTGATGTTGTTTTGGATTCAATATTTCATTAAATAAAAGCATGTTACAGCTTCAGTTAATCATTGGCTCAAGCATACGGTATTTGAGATTATAGTTCAAAAATGCTCAATAACGACACTGATCAAATCTGATTTTGTTCGAGTGGTTAAAGCCTTCAAATATTCATCATTTATTTCAGGCAATTTCAGCCTCCAGTAAACACGTCACAACAGTACTTAGTTTTGATTGTTTTCCCAAACAATTAACAGTATCTTCTCCCAGTCAGGCCAATTTCCAGCATTTGAACCGAAGCGGCTTACTTCATATGATTTAGAGAAGCTGCTTTTGTCAGCTGGTTTTAATCCAGCACTGTGACTGCTTGCCTGTGATAGCTTCACATGTATTCAGTCAATACCCGTTTAAGTGATCTACATTCAAAAAATGCTGTTCAAACAACGACAAATATCATGCTCAACAATATTCTTACCTCGAGACAAAATGCATTTTAAAAGATCCTCAAAATTGATACCAGTCAGAAACCCACATCATAAAAGTCACCAGCAGTGTTGACTTGATCCAGCTGCTCAACAAATACATTTTGCATGTGATATGACATGACATTGTGCGTGAGTGTGCATAGAGCTGCTGGCATGCTTGTTTTTAGAATATGGCTCTGGGGTTTGTTGTCAGATTGATGCACTACATTAGACAGTCCTATTCAACCTGCTGTACAGCTTCATGTTAAATGTCCCGTCACTACCAATGTCACCTCGGAGCTGTCAGCGGCACATGGGACGCCTCCTGCAGCAGATTGGGGCTGTTGTGATGAATCTGTGGGGTGATTGAATGTATAGAGGTGTGGTGGTGGAGGAGATAAATCTTTGACATGTTTGATGCATTTTAAAAATACTGTACACGTGACTGTTATTTCTGTCAGGCTGGATGAAGGGCGACATTAGGGTTGATTCAGTCTTTCATTTTCTGGATATATTTTTTTAGAAATGATTATATATAGTGTGATGTTTTAGACCAAACACTGCAGAGTGATACTATCTGTTACTTTGAAGAACTCTTCAAAGGTCTTCACGGGTTTACCCAGACCCTAGGAACCAACCCAAGATGTGTACGTGTTCAGGGCCACGTTTTATTGTCGCCATTTGGTTAGGGTCAGGTTCAATTCTATTACTGCGGTTCCCAGGCCTGTTCAATGGGATGATTAGGCTGATTGTGAGAGCAAAAGTGAGGTGAAAAAACGCAGAGGAGTAGCTCTAGCAAGTTGAAGGTGAAGTGGAGGAAAGGTGGATGAGGAGCTGAGAACATTAAGGCATATCGGCGGCAATAGCATCACAACAACAGCAAAATAAATGACATTGAAAATTGAAAACAGTAAAATAAATAAATATAGGTATCTGAAACATTATTAAATATCATACACAGTAACTGGGCTAAGAACAGCTTTTTGTATCTGACATGATGAACGTTTTTAGCAGTAGAGCAACATTTTTAGTAGCAATTTTAACTAGCTTTTGGGTTTGTAGAGTCCAAGTCTCACCTCACAATGTCACGTAATTTTTTTTTAATTTAATTTAATTTTATATACTTTATTAATCCCCGAGGGGAAATTCAATTTTTCACTCTGTTTGTCAATTACACACAGGTCCGAACACACACGTGCACAAACTGGACCTATACATGCACTAAGTGGAGAGATGTCAGAGTGGGCTGCCCGTGACAGGTGCTCTGAGCGGTTGGGGGGTTCGGTGCCTTGCTCAGGGGCACCTCGGCAGTGTCCAGGAGGTGAACTGGCACCTCTCCAGCTACCAGTCCACGCTCCATATTTTGGTCCAGACGGGGACTTGAACAGGCGACCCTCCGGTTCCCAACCCAAGTCCCTTATGGACTGAGCTACTGCTCTGCTAAAGGTCTGTTTATTAGCTGTTCTTGTGCTTTCGATCATACAGTACCATCGTATATGACTCAAATGTTTTGAGCAAATATGGAAGAACAGATCTTAAAGTGCTCAGGAAAAGAAATTCCCGACCAGTGGGTAAACTCAGCTCATAATGGACCTTATGGTGAGATATTTTATCAACAAGTAAATCAGCCCAGTTGCCAGAAGAAAATGTTGACATTGTACGTTTCTGCAAATTACATATGTTGCATGTGCATGTTTCTTATGTATCATATCAATGTTTCTAAAGGGAATTAATATATAGGCTGACTTTGTAATTGAGAGGTGGACATGATGGTGGCCGGCGTGTCACTTAGGCGAAACCCATGGGGACCACTGCTGACTACTGTTGAGACCAGCAAACAAGAAAATAGGTTGCGTTTTAGTTAGGGGTGTAACGGTACACAAAAATCTCGATTCGGTACGTACCTCGGTACACAAGTCACGGTTCGGTTTTTTCGGTACAGTAATGAAAAAAATAGACAACTATTAAATATCTTTTACTTATTGATAACCTTATTAAAACGTACCACCACAGCAGTTAACTCTTTTTACACAATTTTTGAATGAAACAAATATATATAAAATCCTGCTTTTGCACATTGTTTGAATGAAAATAGAAATAAAAAAGTGAAAAATAAAATCCTGCTGTTTTTTTAACACAGTTTTTGAATGAAAAATATAAATATACATTTCTGCTTTAACAGTTTTACTCAATTAAAATAAAAAGTATAGTGCAGCTGGTCGGCTTTAAAGCCTGCTCAGATTCAGTTTTACTAGGAACTTACTTAGCTTTCCCACTTTGTTAAAGTGCAGTAAACAAAACATGCTTATATCTAAAGTGCAGCTTAAACAATTTACTCAACTCCAATGGCGTTGATTATTTCTTTAGCGCGATGGTCAGGGAAACGCTCTCTTTTTAAACGACGACGATATCGTAGTTTGCACCAGATTGCTTTTTCTAGTCGTGCCAGTTAACGTTCAAACTTGGGTGGTGTCGCTTTAGATGCGTTAGCATGTTAGACGTGTTTCCAAGTACATACCCGAACGCTGTACTGCAGTGTCGGCACACTGCTTTTGTCTTGTCAACTTGTTTATTTCCATCTTCGTATTTTACCCTGAAACCAAAGTGTTCCCAAACGGAGGACTTAAGGTTTGCGGTTGGGTTTTCAGGTTCGTCAGGCTCACTTGCCATGTTGTCAAAATGCGAGAATGCGCTGCACAAAGTGAAAGCGGAGATTTACGGGACTCGGTCCGTCACTCAATTATGTCCGTCAGGGAACTAGATATTTTAAATGGTTCGGCTCGCAAAAACAGAATTAAAATAAAACAAAATAAAATAAAATAATATCCTGCATCCAATAATTCGGTACAGGGTCGTGTCGAACCGGAAGTGAACGGTTCGACACAAATACATGTACCGTTACGGCCCTAGTTTTAGTGAGTCATTCATGCATTTCCATTGGATTTTTAGGCTCCAAATGTGGGTGTTGTGTAGTGAGCTTAATGGAGGGATTGTCCCATGAGACATCACTGCTTTTCCTGCCGGGACAGTAGCAGGAAAAGTGTTTTTTTTTTTACTAGACATCACTGCTTTTCATCTTGGGATTGTGATTCAAAAACGAGGTATTTTGAGCCAAATCATGATCTTTTCCTAACCATAACCAAGTGGTTTTTGTGCCTAAACATAACGACAGGTTAACCATAGCGTTGTTGAAGCACTGTCTCAATATATCAGCTTCATAATGATGTGTAAATGTGACATATCTGAGGTTTGCAGAAATGCGCAATGCCAACATTTTTTCTGGCGATTGGGTTGACAAAAAGTTTTTCTGTTATTGCCTTCCAAAATGACTCTTTCATATGAGCACTTTCTGATCTGTGTTACCTCTGTCTTTTGGTGAAGGTCTCAAGATACTACGGTTGATTGATGGTAGGATGTGCTGGTAGGATTGCTGTGGATGGCAAGTCAGATACATTGTGATCATCTGACCTTCTCTCTTAGCAGTTTTGCACAAGAATAAGGGACACGTTTTTCCCATTGTCATAATTTGTGTGTCCATAGAAGGTAGGCAATTTTAAATATTTGAATCAATAGTCAGTGATGTCTTTATAATATCTGTAAATCCAAAAGCAATGAGCCTCATTATGAATATTCCTAATATTTGCATTCAGGTTTATAATTCCTCTGCATCCCATGTGGTCAAAGTGAGTCAACCCTTTAATGTACCTGTACTACAGTGTTTCTTTTTTGTGTGTGTGTGTGTGTATCCTGCCTGTGCACATTCTGACAGTAGGACAGTGAAACATGGGGCGGGCTGAGGGAGGCAGTAAGACCCAGAGGAGGAGCAGAGAGAAAGAGAGACAGAGAGAGAGAGAGGGAGAGAGAGAGAGGTGGGAGGAGAGAGAGAGGAGGAGGGACTGTGTTCACTCTATGCGTTGCAGCTCGTGGTGTTAGCGCCCCAGTGTGTGTCTCAGCCTGCCGGCGCGAGTGTGTGCATCGGTGCGTCGCTGTGTGTGTGAATGTGTGTGTGACTCCAGCGCTCTATCTGCGTACGACAGGTGGAGATGACATGACTGCGCTCGAGAGGAAGAAAGGAAAGGACCTGTAAGGACTTCACACACTCACACACATGTAAACACACTGACCTTTTCCCCTAAATTCCCTCACACACACCTTTTAAATTCCTGCACTCTTCACGTCAGGGGAAAGATAAGTTGAGTGTATGTGTGTGTGTGTGTGTGTGTGTGTGAAAGTACTCTTTTTCCAGCAGCTTATCACTCAGACTTGAACAGCTGACTCCATGTGTGCACAGCGGACAACTTAAACACACACACAGACACACACACACACACACACAGGGTCCTGACAGTTGTTTTTGATGCCCGCAGACGCGGTCAGCAAGTGTTTCTGCGTCCTGAGGAGAGTTCAGCTCCAGCGCTGACTACCAGACAGTCCACCACGTTGTCCGAACAACTTCAGGTAGGATTTACTCTTCTCTTCTCTTCTCTTCTCTTCTCTTCTCTTCTCTTCTCTTCTCTTCTCTTCTCTCCACACAGTCTGAAAAACAGGATGCTATATGCTTCATGCCCTCTGCCCTCTTCTCTCTTCCTTCTTCCTTTTTAAAAATTATTGTCCAGCCTGGAACAACAACAGGTAGACATTGATTCATTCCCATAAATTAACGGAACTGTCATGGTTTTTCCTTCATGCAAACGCTTTCAAAATCCCCTTTGAGGAGGACTTTTCTTTAACAAGTTTCCTATCTTGTTATATTAGTCCCTTGATCTCCCTTTTTTGTTTATCTCTTGCACACACGCACACACACACACACACACACACACACACACACACACACACACACATTTCTGTCCTCCTCTATGCTTCTTGTTAGTTCCTCACGGTTCTTGTCTTTTGGGAATGAGTAACTTTTGTCCGGCGGAGGTAAGTTTTAGCTCCTGTTGCTGCAGCGTTCTGTGTTGATTGAGTCAGTGAGAGACTTATTACTTGCCTGGAGCTTCTGTATGTGTGTGTGTGTGTGTGTGTGCGTGTGTGTGTGTGTGTGTGCGCGCGGCTGGTGTGTGTGTCAGATAAAAGACGGAAAGATAAAACATAAAACAGCAATAAACATGAAAGGGAGGAAATTAAAGTGACATTGTTGTTTGAATGGCGGATGAGTGCTTTTTGCACAACGGTCTCTGTTTGTGTGTGTGTGTTGTGTGTGTGTGTGTGTGTGTGTGTGTGTGTGTGTGTGTGTTTTAGGCTGCTATGTTTCTCAGTTGAGTTGATGCAATTTTGTTCTTGCAATCCCTGCAGCACTGAGCCTCATTTCGTTCCGTCGTTTTTTTTTTCTCTCCACCTCATTTTGGTCTGTCTCGCTCCTTCTTTTGTGTTGTGTGATTTGTGACAGGCAGATACCTACAGTTTAAAATTGCTGCTTTCTCGTATCCTCACGTGCCATCGAGCAGTGTTAGTTTGTGTGTGTCTTTGTGCAGTGTGAGCATGAGTGTGTGTGTGTGTGTGTGTGTGTGTGTGTGCGCATTTGTGTTTTATATTGCAAAGGGATTTAATGTTGTTGGCAGCAAAATGGCAACAAAAAAAAATCTTTGATTGGCTGCCAGTGTCGACATGTTCTGCTCAGATCCAATTACTTAGACTGATACACACTCACAGAGACGCAGGCACATGTGCACGCACATTGATGACACACAACCCCACATGCACAAATTCAGTCATTCATTCAAGAAAGAGATAAACAAACATGTAAACAATGTCCTCAAAGAAGACAAACTCACTCATTATTATATGGCATTGTGTTGCAGGGCAAAGATCAATCACATTCATGAACACAATTTTACTTATTTAACCTTTATATATAATTGCTAGTGTGTGTGTGTTTGGGTGTGTATCTGTGGTTACAGTGCTAAAGCACTACTGAGTCAGCCCTGCGCATACGCATTTCCGCAGTCAGTCAACGTTGCAGAAAGTCTTGTCCAACTACATTCCTCTGCCTGTGTATGTTTGTAAATAGTTTGTTGCTGTAGTGTTACTGATACTGTTAGACTGTCAGTGTGTGCAGCGCCACCTGCAGGAGCTGCTTGACAAAATCACACTTAAATGTGCATAACTTATTTTTTTATTTTTGATCACAGAGGTTTTACAGTTGTGTCGCTTGAGTTCCACGAAAAGATTTTTGGTGATGTCATGACTCTCATCCTCTGATTTGACGGATTATGACGAAGATAGCTGCGAACGCGAGCGTCTGGCTGTCCACAAATGCTAAGTTGTATCTCTGTGTGTGCTGTCATGAATCATATGTTTGCACAGTATGTAGGAGTGAAAGTGCTGCATGTATTCATGTGTGTGTGTGTGTATTCATGGGTTTGTGCATGTGAGCCAATGAGGCGGTAAAAGCAGCAGGTTAATCTCTCCTCAGTCTCCAGCAGAACAGATGTGAGGATTAATCCGCCAGGGCATCGGGGTTGGTGCTTACGTGCTCGTGTGTCTGTGTGAGAGAGAGACTCTCTAGTTCCACTAAAATTCAACAAAATACGTGTTTGCGTGTGTTTTCTTGTGTATATATTTTATAAGCTCTGCTGCTCTGGGTGTCTGCATGTCAGTGCAAATGTTTTCTTAGTTTCTTATTAACACATACTCGTTTCAATCCAAGCCTTCAATAATATGCTGTTGTGCTGTTTGTGTGAGGCTCAACAAGTGTGCACAAAAAAACAGAAGCAACACGTGGAGACAGGTTTGATTGATCCCCTGCTTCAGTTCTTTGATAATTATCTGCATCGCCCATCCTCATCACCGCGTCATTTAGCTGCTCAGCTGTCTCTTGTTCAGCAAAGATGGTGTGTTAAAAGCGATGAAAAATTCTCAGCAGAAGATTGATGTGGAAAAAGGCTATTTAAACTTAAACATAATTATTTCTGTTTGTGTTTGGGTGTGAGTGAGTGTGTTCTGGAACTCAGTGCAGTAGCGCTGCGGACAGATTGACCTGAATGACATGAAAGTGTTTTCCGTTGAATGGAGTAGGTCCAGCCCACTAAACTTTGCGCTCTATTTTATAATAATTTTCAGTTTTGGGACAAAAACACATTCTTACTCCCAGCATCAAAAAATTCTGCTGCACAACGTCTCATACCACCACTAAAGTGTGCCTTGGTACAGCAGTATCTGATGCAGAGGGCCACTGATCAAGCATCAGTATTTGACGATTTTGGAGTCAGACTAGTTGAGACAGAAGAGGGGGCTGTATGCTCTGACCTCATTGCTGGAGAAAAGGGGAAAACAAATGGCACATTGCAAAATACATCCTTTTTTTTGTTATCACAGTACCAACTTGCAGAATAAACACATTGTGAATGACTGTGATATTACACTTTGACTATAGTAACAATGTAGTAAATTACATTCTGTCTTTAGGAGCTGTTTTGACTGATATGCGCCATGGTGTTAACTCTCTGGCCAATCAGACAGAGCCCAGAGGTCAGAATCTGCATACATGTGTCTGAGGTTCACGCCTCATTTCCACATAGCTCTATCTCTGCATGAGAGTCAACTTTGACTATGTTTTGCAGCAGATTTCAGACAGAACATAAGCACTGTGCCAAAGGAAATTAACATAAAAACAAATTAGCAAACAGATTGATGAATGTGCTACAGCTCTATTTACACATTTATTCTAAGTGAAAAGCTCAACAGCATGTTTAGCTAGCTAACATTGGTAGCATGCTGTGTAACATATAGAGTGCCTTTATTAATGATCTTCTCACAAAATCTTTCAGAAAAATGGCCAAGCCAACCTCCTCACTTATTTGTCACAATGAATAATTGGTCCTGTTTTTATCTCTGTACTGCTCCATGCGATTATTCCACAAGACTGGGCACCAAAAACACTTAAAAATGAACTTTTCTGCCACTTTTGCAGTGGCATTTTTATCCATCTATAAAGAGATGCATTTCCTTGCACTGAACAGTGGGGGCATACTCTGTATGCCATACAGAGTATGGAGACAAAACAAAAGTGTGTGGAAACGAAGTGATACTGGACTAGTGCTGCCATACTACTCTGCATACTTGAAGCAGGAGTGTGTGAGATGAGTGCAGACAAAAGTGCAACTGTCAGAGAGGAACTGGTGTCTAAGAAAGAAAGTACGTCAGTCGTCTGGCAGTATTTTACATACAGGAGAGACAATGTGGCACAAGCAGGTACTGTGTCTAGAACTAAGCACACTTTAATATCTGTTGATTTATCACAATAAGTAATATCATTATTGCATATTGCATGTTTTCCTCATATCGTACAGTCCTAGTGGCACATTGTGATGGCTGTTGCTCCAGTTGCCCTTTGCTTGTGTCCGCCTGCCTTCATCTTCACCCTGATCTGATTTGATATTGTGATGCGAGATCACTGTTTCACTTGTTGATCTGCATACAGTCACAACACTTAAGGCAATCATTTTATGTCTTGCTCTCACAGCATTTTCCAACTCTTTATCTTGAGCTTGTATACACACTGTGCATTTTAACTTTTATCTTTTTGATGTAATCTGATATGGAGTGTGTGAGCAGCGGGGTCTGCCCATTGGTCCGACAGCCCATTGGTCCGACAGCCCATTGGTCCGACCATATTAAACCCATTGTTCCGAAGTCCCGTTGTTCCGAAATCATCATGATGCCCTGTGGTTAAGGTCTGGTTAGGTTTAGGCACAAAAACCACTTGGTTAGGGTTAGGAAAAGATCATGGTGTGGTTTAAAATGAAAAAGAAAGTGGCAAACACATAAGCCGTGAGCCTGCTTCACCTCAAGCCTTTCCCAGCTGACCCAGAGCCAGTTGCGGCGCACCATCAAGAAATAGCCCGCCGGGAGCCGTTCAGCACCACGGAGAGCTCCCCACACAACCCGGACCCCAGAGTTAATAACAGGAGGTTATGGTGTTTCATTCTCTTCTCTCTATGACACTTGTATCTCGACCAGTAGCCTACTTTTGTTGCGTTGCTGATCCTCTATGGTACACAAATACAGTATAGCCTAGTATAATCACATATCGGACTAATTAGAGGTTGGAACAATGCTACGGCTCCGTGAGCAGCTGGGTTCATAGTCTTGCTCAAGGGCAAGACAACAGGACACACAGCTGAGCTGCTGATGTGACTACTGACAGAGACATCCATCGTTCTTATATTTTAGTGCTGTACCCAACTCAGAATTATGTCAGTCAAATCAGACTCGGCCATTAAATATGAATATTTGACAACTCGTTTTCTTTTTTCCATATTAAGATTTAATGTTTGAAACGGGCTTAGTGGAATGTTCAGCGGCATTCATGTAATATAGTAAACAAGCTAACAGCGCTAACGACAGATTGGAAATGAGCAACATTTTTTGGTGACACTAGATATCAAACAAAAGCCAGAGACCGTGTTGTATTAAGTATCTGTGAGCAGCAAATTCACCACTTCTAAGCAGAGGAGAGA